TACAAAGGAGTTTCTCCAACATCCTTGGCTGTGACTCACAGGAGATGACACAATTCACGTGGCAACCCCATACACACACATACACACACACACACATGATTGTATACATGTACATATGCATGTGTGTATAAACGTGTGTACATGTGTAGACAAATCTTTATCTATAACGGAGACAATTTTCACAAGAAACACTGGCTGTATGTGCCCCGCACTCACCCTGTCTGTGATACATGCACATTTTCTGTATAGTTGCACACACACAAACATAAATGTGAATCTGTAACTGATGCAAAATTTAGGAAACATCAACTCGCCCTTTGTGTGATACACTTGATGTGTGATCCACCCCATTTTCTGCCAGCTGTCTCCCACTGAACTGTGTCCATGCATCAGTGATCACAATTGATGTGTCGATGGTTGGCAAGCATTGAAAGGGAAGGGGTTGTGTTGGTGGGCCTCATAGTCCCGCACCCGATCCCCTGGCACCTGCACTCCATGCAGTCAGGCATACCTCCTTGCCAACACTTGTTGTAATTTGATTTTTATTCTAGTTGGCTCTAGTTTAGTGAGTGTGAACTAGTATCCAATTATGGATTTGATTTGTACTTCCCTGTCAGTTAATGATGTTGAACATCTTATGACTTTTTTGTTGAAATATCTATTCAGATCCTTTGCCCATTTTAAATTGGGTTATTTGAGTTTTTGTTGTTGAGATGTCATGGTTCTTTGTATATTCTGAATGCAAGTTCCTTATCAGATACACGATTTGCAGTTTTTTCCCTTCCATTCTGTGGGTTGTCTTCTTACTTTTGTGGCCTTTGCTTTTAGTGCTATATCTAGTCTAACCCAAGGTAATGAAGATTTATTTCTGTTTCCTTCTAAGAGTTTTATAGTCTTAGGTATTTCATTTGGATTTATGTTTCATTTGGAGTTAATTTTTGTTTACCCTGTGACACCTCAACAACCAAAGGGCCTTCAACTGATTGGGTGAGTCCCACCTGTTTTCCAGAGGATAATCTGCTTTACTCAAAGTGTCCTGATTCAAATGTTAATCACATCTAAACAATATATTCACATATACATCCATATATACATGTGTGTGTGTGCTTAGTCACTCAGTAGTGTCCAGCTCTTTGCAACCCTTTGGACTGTAGCCTCCCGGGCTCCTCTATCCATGGGATTCTCCAGGCAATAATACTGGAATGAGTTGCCATGCCCTCCTCCAGGGGATCTTCACAACCCAGGGATTGAACCGTGTCTGCTGTGTCTGTTGCCTTGCAGGTGGATTTTTTACCCATTGAGCCATCAGGGACGCCTATATATATATATATATATCAAGCCCCCATACATGTATATATACACACACATATGCATCAGTTCAGTTCAGTCGCTCAGTCATGTCTGACTCTTTGCGACCCCATGAATCGCAGCATGCCAGGCCTCCCTGTCCATCACCAGTTCCCAGAGTTTACTCAAACTCATGCCCATAGAGTCGGCAATGCCATCCAGCCATCTCATCCTCTGTCGTCCCCTTCTTGCCCTGCCCCCAATCCCTCCCAGCATCAGGGTCTTTTCCAATAAGTCAACTCTTCGCAAGGGGTGGCCAAAGTACTGGAGTTTCAGCTTCAGCATCAGTCCTTCCAATGAACACCCAGGACTTATCTCCTTCAGGATGGACTGGTTGGATCTCCTTGCAGTCCAAGGGACTCTCAAGAGTCTTCTCCAACACCATAGTTCAAAAGCATCAACTTTTCAGCGCTCAGCTTTCTTCACAGTCCAACTCTCACATCCATACGTAACCACTGGAAAAACCATAGCCTTGACTAGACGGACCTTTGTTGGCAAAGGAATGTCTCTGCTTTTTAATATGCTGTCTGGGTTGGTCATAACCTTCCTTCCAAGGGATAAGAGTCTTTTAATTTCATGGCTGCAGTCACCATCTGCAGTGATTTTGGAGCCCAAAAAAATAAAGTCTGACACTGTTTCCATTGTCTCCCCATCCATTTCCCATGAGGTGATGGGACCAGATGCCATGATCTTAGTTTTCTGAATGTTAAGCTTTAAGCCAACTTTCTCACTCTCCTCTTTCACTTTCATCAAGAGGCTTTTTAGTTCCTCTTCACTCTCTGCCATAAGGGTGGTGTCATCTGCCTATCTGAGGTTATTGATATTTCTCCCGGCAATCTTGATTCCAGCTTGTGCTTCTTCCAGCCCAGCGTTTCTCATGATGTACTCTGCATAAAAGTTAAATAAGCAGGGTGACAATATACAGCCTTGACATACTTCTTTTCCTATTTGGAACCAGTCTGTTATTCCATGTCCAGTTCTAACTGTTGCTTCCTGACCTGCATACAGGTTTCTCAAGAGGCAGGTCAAGTGGTCTGGTATTCCCATCTCCTTCAGAATTTTCCACAGTTTATTGTGATCCACACAGTCGAAGGCTTTGGTGTAGTCAATAAAGCAAAAATAGATGCTTTTCTGGAATTCTCTTGCTTTTTCGATGATCCAGTGGATATTGACAATTTGATCTCTGGTTCCTCTGCCTTTTCTAAAACAAGCTTGAACATCTGGAAGTTCACGGTTCACATATTGCTGAAGCCTGGCTTGGAGAATTTTGAGCATTACTTTACTAGTGTGTGAGATGAGTGCAATTGTGTGGTAGTTTGAGCATTCTTTGGGATCACCTTTCTTTGGGATTGGAATGAAAATGGACCTTTTCCAGTCCTGTGGCCACTGCTGAGTTTTCCAAATTTGCTGGCATATTGAGTGCAGCACTTTCACAGCATCATCTTTCAGGATTTGAAATAGCTCAACTGGAATTCCATCACCTCCACTAGCTTTGTTTGTAGTGATGCTTTCTAAGGACCACTTGACTTCACATTCCAGGATGTCTGGCTCTAGGTGAGTGATCACACCATTGTGATCATCTGAGTCGTGAAGACATATGCATACATACACATATACTGTGTGCCTGAGCAGTTGGGGAAAATTACGAACAACAGATAAGATATAAAAAACAAACAAGCCCAACTGCCACTTCTGAAGAGACTGGAGCAAAGCAGGGTACTGCACACACCCCCTGCACACACAGCACCTCTCCAGCCCCACCCCTGGACCCACCCTGACGCTCACCCCATATAAGAAACCAGTTCACCACCACCCACACCTCAGGGAGCAAGTAAGGGAACCTGTTGTCTATTCTCACTGCCCCCCCCGACCCCCCACTGCTGTAGCAGAGACCCCAGTAAAGCCTTGCCTAAATTTCTTGTCTGGCCTCTAATCAATTTCTATTGATTAAGGAGGCCAAGATCCCTGGTCGGTAGTTGGGAGGAGCCCACCCATAGGCCCCGAGGCAGCAGAAGGCACTCTGGTCCTGGCTGGAGGCCTCCGCAACCTTCTAGGTCTGCAGGTGGGTCCCATACCCTGATGGCCTAGGACCCCCACTCATGGCCACCCCTCTCCTGGGTGTCTTGGCCCAGGCATAGGTATGGAACATGAGACAGGGTTGGTTTGGGGCCCACTTTGGGAGGGATGAAGCAGAGCTCAAGGGGAGAAAAGACAGAGGCTGAAGAATCACACTTGAACCAGGCCCCACATTGACTCCGATCAGCTTCTAAGTGCAGGGAAATGCTGCTTTTCCCACCCTAAGCAGCTGCATCCTCCTGGGGCTGGTGGGTCAGCAGGGAGATGAGACCCAGTTCCTTTCCAGTCCTTTCAGCCTAGTCCCAGCTGAGCAGAGCCCAGTGGGCACCAACATGACCTCATCCAGATGCCGAGTGCCTCTCCAGCCCCCACCCCTCAGCCTCCAGAGGTATGGGGACACTTGTCACTTCTCAGGGCACACTGGCCCTTCTCCTCTGGTCCCCACTGGAGCATGTGGCTGAGGTCAGCGGCTGTGTGGCTGGTGTCCAGCCACTCTTGGCTCTGCCCACCTCCACGTCCTGTGGCACCAGCAGTATCACTCAACAGCTGTTTGCGCACACCTGATGCAGCGCTTCTTTCCTGAGGATGTGATTCTGCAAAGGGACTCAAAACAGTGAAGGCAAGTGACAAAGGAGGGCTTATGACCAAAGAAACACCTACCGCTCACCAAGAAGCACAATTTCAGGCTAGGGCTCTCCACTCACACAGTGGGCTATGTCTGCTGCCAGAAAGCAGGATTCTGCTTCATTTTCTTAATGATATATTTGTTTTTGATGTAGACCATTTTAGAAGTTTTTGTTGAACTTGTTACAATATTTTCTGCATGTGGGACTTTAGTTCCCTGACCGTGGATCGAATCTGCATCCCATGCATTGAAAGGTGAAGTCTTTAAAAATTTTATTTATTTTTTATTTTTGGCTGTGCTCGGTCTTCATTGATATTCAGGCTTTTCTCTAGTTGCAGAAAGGAGGGGCTACTCTCCAGTTGTGGTGCATGGGCTTCTCTTGTTGCAGAGCTCAGGCTCTAGAGCACAGGCTCAGTAGTTGTGGCACACAGGTTTAGTTGCTTTGCTGCATATGGGATCTTCCTGTACCAGGGATTAAACCCATATTCCCTGAATGGCAGGCGAATTCTTTACTACTGAGCCACCAGGGACGCCCAGAAGGCAGTCTTAATCAATGAACCCCCAGGGAGTTCCCAGAATTCTGCTTTTGATGTTGTATTTGATATGCACACAGTCAGCTCGCATGGGCACAGAAGTTCTCACCTGGCACCTGGCATCTTCATCCAGGCTCACACCAGCCAGGACAGCCAAACAACACACACACTCTGCAGGCGGGCAGATGCTGCCTTGGAGTGTGGGTGACCAGACCCCAATTCCCTGCCTCACTGTTCCCTTTATCTAAATCTGGTTTCCACCCCTTTTCAGATTGCTTTCCACGTCCTTCTATTATGCATGTGTAAAATCTATTCACAACTTTATCAAAACATCTCTTTGGGAAAAAGTGAGCTGGGGAAGAAAGTGTGAATGTTGAGTCCTGTTTTTCCAAGAGACTCTCCATCTGCACCCCCACTGGATGCTTGGGAATTTCCTGTTTATTTACCGGGGCTTCCAGACAAACCGGGACTCCAGACCCGCCTCCCCCCACGGCAGTCAACTTTGCGCAAGGAGACGTCTGGGCCAGGGAGCTAAGAGTGACTCACCTCAAACCTTCCCACCCCAGCGGCCCCTGCCCACCATGGGTTGCAGCAGATGGAGGCTCCAAGCACCTGGGACCAGAGAGAAACCCCCGCAGGACAGTTTCCAGCAAGAGAGAGGAGACAACCAGATCTCAGCCTGGAACGGAGCAGGCCTGTCGCCCCTCTATCCTCCCTCCAGCAGAATTGGGGAGTAGCTGTGGAGGAAGGACTGTGCCCTCCTTTCAATAGCTAAGTCAGAGGTCTCTCTTGGTAACAGTCACATTGCGCTTGAAAATATATGGGTTATTTTCAAATATCTTTTGGTATTAATTTCTAATATAATTCCACCGTGATAAGAGAACAGACTGTATGATTTCATCACCTTTAGACCAGGAAATTTTTGCACCTTGTTTTACCCCTGGATATGTTCCAGTGTCTCCTGATTTATAGTCTATGGGAACTTGAATAGAATTTGTATCCTGCTGTTGTGTGAAAATTGTATAGATCTTTATTATATTAACTTTGTTCATGGCGCTTTTCAGATTTAACTATATACTTCTACTTCTCTGTCTGTTCTTTCTATTAATTTTTTGTGACTCTGATATTAAAACTCCAGTTAAAAATCTTAATTTATTTACTTAAAAAATAATTGTAATATGTAATGGAACTATATGTGACTTTGTTCTGTATTCTCCAAGTTTCCTGTAAATGTTATCATACTTTCATAAATTAAAAAAGAAAAAAAAAGAGAAATGTGCCCCTGAGATGGGCATAATGTGTACACAGGAGATCCCCAGAGAAACCAGAGACACCTCCCTGGGCAGACATGCTACCAGGCGTGGACATACACATGCACATGCGCACACACATGCGCGCGCACACACATGCACACTCACGCACACACACACACAGGCACTCATTCCCCTCAGCCAAGGCCTCCTGTACACTCACTTCCTCTTCCTTCTGTGAAGGCCACATCACAGCCAGGCTTGTGGCTGCCCTGCCAGGCCTGACACTGGGAGTCTTGTCTCTCGGAGGCTTGCAGGCAAGACCATCAGACATGCCAGCCTCACCCCTACATCCACCCTGGGGGCAGGGAGAGGGCTGCAGGGAGGGTTGGTCCCTTCTCTGCTGCTGCCCCTCCCCTTGCCTGTGGCCTCTGAGCCCATTTTGAGCCCCGGCTGCTCTGCTTTGCTATTTCTCAGACTTCAGCAAGTAATTCCACAGTCAGGAGGGAGCAGCCTCCATGGTCCAGGGCTGCAGAGGCCAGGAGGTAGGTGGTCCCTTGGAGCAGGGAGCCACAGGCCCTCAGCCAGCGTGTCCTGGGTCCCCCATGCCCCCAGCCCCACCAAGCTCACCCCGCCCACAGGCCTGTGGCCGGCCGAGCAGTCCAGTGACAGGTGATCAGCAGTGGCAGGTTCTCTTCAATTCTTTCCTTTCTCCCAGGTTGATTTCCATCTCAAGAGAAGTCCCAAGATTCAGAGGATTCAGACAGGAAGAGAGATGAATTCTAGGAATGGAGTTTTCATGATGGTTTAATGTCAACATGAGTGGAAATGGTCCTTCTCCCACCTCTGTGCCTGGGTAGTTGAAGGGGACACGTGTCCCTCAGGTCACTAAGCTGTGTTTGCCAGAGAAAATCCTGATGCCCACATGCTCTGGACTCAGTTTCTATGTGACAACCCTGCACCCAGAATTCCTACCTTAAGCCCTAATCTCCTAGGTTACGGGATGAAGAGGGGGCCTTTGGGAGGTCATGAGGGTGGGGTCTTCATGAATGGGATTGGTGTCCTTTAAGGACAGCCCAGAGGAACTTCCGTGGTGGTCCAGTGGCTAAGAGTCTGGCTCCCAGTGCAGAGACTGTGGGTTTGATCCAACATGACACATGTCGTGTGGCATGGCCAAGAATAAATAAATAAATAAAATGCTAGGAAGTGGGCCCTCACCACACATGAAACTGCTAGCATGTTGATCGTGGGACTTCCCAGTCTCCAAAACAATGAGAAACAAATCTCTGCTGTTTATAAGCTGCTCAGGCTCTCAAATTCTGTTCTAGCAGCCCCAACAGACTCCTACACCAGCTAAATTTGAGTGGAAAGTCAACGGAAAGTTGTTGTTAGTATGAGTATGTTCTAAATATTGTCTTCATCATTGATCAGAAATTCAGATTCAACTGGGTATCCTACATTTTATTTTTTCTTTCTAATCTGGCCACCCTACCCAGACCTTCTGTTTGAGGCTCATTTCTCCTCCAAGAAGCAGCTGACTGGGGGATGCGTGCAGGTCTCTTCCCGCAGGCCCTCTACCCTGCCAGGGGTCGCTCCTGGTGGGTCCTCCCACTTTGTCAGTCCTCCCAGCCCTGCTGTTCTTCATTCTACCCAGCTGGCCCTCCCCACCCCCTCCCGCGCTGAGCCTCCGGGGACTGGCCTCCAGTGCTCCTGAAAGGTGTGCACCCTAGCCGTCCCTCTGTCCCCGCTGTCCCCTGGCCTTGCCTCCAGCTCCTCCACCCTCTCTGGGCCTCTCCTCCAGCAGAGGTTCACCGAGCACTTTCTCACCTCCAGGCCAGGTGGAGCCGGGAACAGTAGGGGGAAGCAGGACTCGAGGGCTCAGGCCATCTACAGGGTTTGCAGAGGGCCTTCTCTTTGCTGTGTTCTCACATGGGGGGATGGGGAGGTGGAGGGAGGTGGAAGGAGAGAGAGAGAGAAGCAACTCTGGCCTCTTATAAGGACATTAATCCCACCACAAGCTCCCCATCCCCATGACCTAATCACCCCAGAGGTCCCATCTCCAAATGCCACCATATTGGGGCATAGAATTTCCACATAAGAATTTTGATAGGGACCCAAATATTCTGTTCATCACCATCTGTAGCAGAAAGCAAAGACAAAGGGGCATTGCAACTATTACCCAACCACTTTCAGGGGACAGGGATACCCAGCAAGCGTTCTTCACAGCCAGGTTCTGCCCAGGGACCTGCTGCCCTCTCCTGAGGCATGATTTTCACCATCCACCCTTGGGCATCTGGGAGCCCAGGGCATCCACAGGAGATGAAACCCAATGGGTTTCATCCATGGCCACAAAGCACCTGCCATATGGCTGCCAGAATCACAATACCTGCAGCATGAAATAAGCACAAGCATTGACCAAGTGGGAAGGGGCCCTAGGGTTTTTTTTGGAGGGTGGAAGTGGTGGAGAGGAGCCTTCAAAAAATATTCAAAGGTTAAATCTACTTTTAAAACATTTTTTTTCTTTAGAGGCAGTGATTTGTGATTATATCTATTGAATCTCTTTTTCAGGCACCCAGAGAACTTTTTAACACATGGTATCAAAAAATCTAACTGATGATGTTGATCATTTTTAAATAAAAAGTTGTTTTTGAAGTGGATTGCTTAGTGTCATTATTCATTTTGTTTCTCGGCAGGGAAATGAATGAATCGGGCATATCCCCAACCCTCTTGTTGGTGGCGAAGAGATTGGTCTTTGTTTTGTCATAAACAAAACATTGAGGACTTCCCTGGTGGTCTAGTGGTTAAGACTTTACCTTCTATTGCAGAGAGTAGGGGTTTGATCCCTGGTCAGGGAGCTAAGATCTCATATGTTTTGCAACTAAAAAACCAAAACATAAAACAGAAGCAAAAAGAGACAACTCATTGGAAAAGACCCTGATACTGGGAAAGACTGAAGGCAGGAGAAGGGGATGGCAGAGGATGTGATAGCTAGATAGCATCAGTGATTCAATGGACCTGAATTTGAACAAACTCCAGGAGATAGTGGAGGACAGGGAACCCTGGCGTGCTACAGTCCCTGGGGTTGCAGAGTTGGGCATGACTTACGGACTGAACGACAATTGTAACAAATTTGATAAAGACTTTAAAAACAATCCACATCAAAAAAAAAATCTTTAAAAATTTGTGTGTTGAGTCCAAACTTCTGATTTAATTACTGTTGGGTGCACCACAATCCGTTACACATTTCAGATCACAGAGCACAAACAGCAGCAAAATCTAGACCTACAGAATTAACCAGCCAAAAGATTAGGTTTGAAAGAAGTGCATGGTTGGTTTCCTAAAGACAACTTGCAGAGGTTTTTGTCCCCCTCTGTGTATAGGAAACAAAAGGATGAAAACCCCGCTGTGGATCTTCTGGCAGGCCTGATGTCTCAGGAAAGGGGACTTTGCCTGAGGGACCCTCCTTCACAGCCTCCCGGGAGCCTCAGGTTCTGACCACGAGGGGGCAGAGCTGGGCATGCTGTGGTGCCTAAGTGGCCACCTAGTCTGTCTCCATGGAGGCTGGCAGCTTACCTTTCTCTTTCCTAGAAGCAAATACAAAACTCACATGTAATCTCCAGCTGGGTCACCTGTGAAGGGCAGAATGAATACATTTACTACTTTAGATGTTTAAAATGATTAATCAACAGATTTAGAATTAGTCACCAATCCAAAGGACACCTTAGCCCCCAGTTAGGACAGTGTCATTTACACTTCCCAGGACTCTTTTCAGGTGGCACTGGTGATAAAGAATCTGCCTGCCAATTCAGGAGACGTGAGGGCTGAGGGTTCAATCCCTGGGTTGGGAGGATCCCCTGGAGGAGAGGAAATGGCAACCCACTCCAGTATTCTTGCCTGGAGAATCCCATGGACAGAGGAGCCTCATGGGCTACAGTCCATGGGGTCGTGAAGGGTCTGACACAACTGAAGCAATTTAGCACAGCACACACAGGACCCATCACCTTCTCTGAGTTGCTTGCTTGTCCTTTGGGCTCTCCGTCCTCTCCTCCCAACCCCCCTCCTCAGGTGGCCAGGCTTCTAGAGGCAAAGGGCACACACAAATCCCATACATTCCTGAGTCCCACACACTCCTGACCCTGTTTCAACATTGAGCGGTCATTCCACCAGCTGTGCTGCTTTTACTGAGATCTGCAAGTCCAAGTGTTCAGACCACATATTTGGACCTACTGGATATCGGGGCTCTGCCAGGACGGAGGGGGACCTAGGAAGGCAGGACTATCCCCATCACTTTGCCAGGGAGCCTTGATCACTTCCCTGGGGCTTGTTCTAAGGCACCTCTCCTGCCAGAATGGGACCATGTGCCAGCCCTTGGTAGAGAGTGCAGACAGCACTATGCATAGTCATGTGTGTTCCGCTCGGACAGGCAGTGGGCAGAGACAGCCGAGTGCAGCACAGGGTGGGCCATGCTGTCTTCCTGGGGTCAGCCT